GTGGCTCAGATGTAAGAAGTGCAAAGTACCGCAGGAATTGTTTCTCCCCAGACAGGACAGGGGCCCTGGTGAAAACACACCAGGCGAACAACAACAGAACAGCTGAACAAAACTGCAGACCAAAGCCCAGGGAGGCTTATTGCCGCCAGCGCTCTAAGCCTTTCAGCAGAGCACTCCCTCCCCTGCTCACTTTTCCAAATGTCCACACACCCAGCGCACAGGGTAAACCTTTCGAAGATTATGTTTCAATCGTTCAGCATTTGTGTCATTTTAAACACGTCAGCTAAGACTTTTTTCTCCCTACAACTTACGGATGGAAGGGGGCGGGGGGAGTGGTGTGTCTGGACACGATCTTCAGCAGCAGGACTGAGACTGGTGAGATTCTCTCCAAGGGTCATTTTGCAGCTTTTCTCACTTAAGGGGCACAGACTGAAACACGCTGAGCAGGGACTGGACGTGCTGCTGCAGGTGCACACACGCACACACACAGGCACATGCGTGCACACTGGAAGCCCACACGCCTTGTCTCTCTCCAGCAGGATGGGCTTCCTGAGCTGATGCAATTTAAGGGGAACAGAGATTGTTCTAAGAACAGGGAGTAGTTCCAGACTGAAGGACAAAGAAGCTAGTGAGCCAAAGTCCTTAAAAAAGGAGGGAAGAGGTCGGAGGAAGAGTCAGCTTCCTGGAGCATCCCCCTCCGCCCCCCGACCCTGCCCCGCAACCCGCCCCTGGTCGGCCTCTTTCCATCACAGCCAGAGCAGGGACGAGAGAACCGTCAGGACAGGGGGTCCATGGCGGCTGAACACACAGCGGCACTTTGGTCCCGTTAGGAGAACAAAGTTCCAGTACTCACTCCCCAAAGCCAAACGAGGTGACACTCCCTCCACCTGTCCATGCCCTGGATCACATCTAAACTGGGGGGAGGGGGCGGGGGAGGGGGGTGGGCAGGAAGGGAGAAGAGCTATTTCTAAATATAGACCAGTTTTGTCTTATTCCTTCATCTTATAAGATCTTGTATGCCAGGCAGGGGTGCTGGGCAGAGCCCCGAGCTGCATTCTGAGGGCCAGCACCGGGAAACCCAAATCCTGCACCAACTCAAAATGCCTTTCCAACACCGAGTGGGAAGAGCGGGGCTTGTTCTGTGAGCCCCGGACCGCAGCCGCCTGCATCCCCGCTCCCGCTGTGAGTCCTGGCTCCCAGATTCACAGCATCAGTGAAGGAGTTAACTTCTCGTGTTCAGGTCTTTTAAAGTCTTTCCTTTTCCTTTCTTCTCCACTCAGGGTGCATGGGGTGGCACTTAAAGTCTCAGAAATCCTGGCTTTTATCTGCAGACATGCTGGTAGGAAGTTTCTGGGGTGGGGAGGGCTGAGAGATTGGCCTGACGATGTTCAGGGGGTCCCTTCCATTGAACCCAGAAGCCTTTTCTCCTCCAAGGCTCCCCGCACGTGAGCATCCATTCAGCAAGACTGCTCCTCGAGTCTTGAAGACTGTCTCTGCATGAAAGAGTTTTTAACTCTCTTCTCACCCGGTTACTGTCATCTGGGCACGCTGCGCCATTTTTCAGTACTTCTCCTTTCCTTTCATCTTGAAGACAGCAGCGCAGGTGCAGTGTCTGTAGGTTTCCAAGGTTTGTCGCTGCTCTGGCCCCTCTGTGAATGCCTTGGAGTCTGCTGAGCTCGGCGGAGGCATTATAAAGCAGCACGTGAGCTGGGCATCTGAAGCATTCATCGTGGTATGAAAAAAGCTTAAGATTCCATTTTTAGAGGAAAAAAGTGCTTGGGGTAGTTTTTGCTCTTAAAGTGGGTTTCATTTTTCCTTATCCTTCCCTTTCTTCGACCTGGTCTTTCTCCTGCCCTTGAGCACTTTTCTAAACATTTGACCAGGATGGTCAATGGTCACACCGGGCAGTAGGTACCACTGTGCTCCTCTGACCACACAACCAGGTCAGGAACCTCTCTTCTCCATCTCCCTTCATGGCCAACATCCTTGAATTAATCAGCCACAAACCTACCAGATAGTCCAGGGGCAACTTGATGCTGCCCTAGATCATTTGATTTTCTTTCTTTGATATGCCTCAGTCTCCACATGGATAGAGCATGGTTAACCTGGAAAATTCTTTAATGGCCCTTCCAGCACCATCATCCTGTGATTTTAAAACTTTCTCTACCATCCTTGGCTCAGCTTTGCGTCCTGACACCTTGCTTTTCCAACTTCCCCTCCAAGTGAGTTTGGTTTGGGCACCCTGCAGGTTTTTACAATAAATAAAAATCATCCTGCAACACCGATGGAAGTCACATCTCAGGCCCCGGCTGCAGAAAGCCCCAGTCACAGGTGTCTGAGCGCCAAGGACCAAAAGGCAGAACTTCCCCTTGGGAGAGAATGCACAGTCCTTTGTGAATCGTGGGAGGACTGGCTGATTTCTTCGTACTTTTTTAAAATAGTTCATGCACTTCTTTTTCTCTCAGATTCAAAAAAAAACAACAACTCATCTCACATCTTCAGTTCTGAGGATATTAAAACAGGAGGCTCAGCATTGAAGCAAGTTGACAAACACGAAGATGAGCAGGAACAGAACCCAGCTGATCAGACCGCAGGTGTAGCTCCCAGTGCATTTCAGAGCAGATAGCTCTGCGCTAGGCTTTCCACCGGCCCCGGGCTCTCCGAGCAGGGTGGCCGCCCAGGGATCATCCCCAAACAGGGTAAGAATTCTGAGCACGAGAGGGGTTGCTGAAGACAACTGACAGGCAGAAGGAGCAAGCAGAAGCCAAGGCTCTCCCAGGTAAACAAGTCTGCCCTCTGCAACCCGGCATGTGTTACCTGTCCAAGTGTGGAAAGCTAACAGAATTCATAACAAAATCACAGACATGATCGACCAGAGAGCTGGCCAACAGCCCCCTTCAGGAAGCGGATATGTCAGCATCTCACTCTCCTGGGTTCCCTCCCGCTTCCCTGCTGCTCCTCCTTGGTCCCCCCTCCCTGCCTTCCTCTCCCGTCCCATCTGCCAGACGGAGTCCCTCGGAGCTCTCTCCTGCCTCGAACGTCTCGTCTCCTCCCTCTGTACGCTCTCTAGGCAAGATGATCCATCTTCTCCATCTTCCCCTGAACATCAAGCCTACCCTTTACTCAACCCATTTTCCACAAGGCAACCAGAGCAAGCCTGAGAAGATGTAAACAGGATCACATCGTTCCTACTTTAAAACTTTCCCTGGGTCCCCACTGCTCCTGAGATTGTCTCCAAAATCCCTCACCAGACATCAGAGGCCCAGCCTGCTCCATTTTTCTTATTCACTGGCCCCCTTCCCACATCAGTGCCATCTCAGCTTCCTCTCCCCTTTGTCTGGAATAGTCCTTTACAGGGTTCCTGGGGCCCCAGCACACGCCCACCATTCCCTTTTGCCTGGCACCTACTGACGCCTGAAGCCTGGTTTAGATGCTGTGTCCTTGGGGAAGGCTTCCGACCACCTCGAGCAGGTCTCCGCGGTGAACCTGCTCAGAGCACCTGCATCCTATTTAACGAGGGCTATCATAATGTCTATCTTCCCCCATACTTCGTCCTCAAGAAAGAGCACATAACCTCAAGAATGAACCAGTGGAAGGAGGGTCAGGAAAAACCCATTTAAACACCTGCCTGCACTCCCCACCCCCTTTCCCAGGGCCGAAATGGGAGAACACCAGAGAGAAGTGAGGAAAGATAAAATGGAAGGATGAAGTTTAGAGGAAGGAGGTGAAAAGACCACCACATGATGCTTCAGGCCCACCTTCAGAAAAGCTGGGGCTCTTCATTTGCATCTATTTTTATCTCCAAAAATGGAGACAATATTCTAGAACATTCCAGAAAAGGGTGGGGTAGAAGACACTAAATGGCGTTTTTTGTAGGTAACACTCGTGGTCCTGGGCTTCCTGGTCCAGGAGGATGTGAAACAGGATTATCTCTGAGGTTCCCTCCAGCTGCCACGTCCTGGGAGTCTTTGCAGAACGGCGGTGGCTCAGAGCCGGCGGCTCCGTCTGGATGCTGCCTCCGTCAGCATCTTCACTGAAACACGTCAACTGCCTCCTTACGTGTGTCAAAACAACACAGAGCTGAATCCCTCAGACACGGGAAGAAGTCAGCCCTGCCTGCGTGGAGAAAGCCACTTGGAAATCAAAGTTTCCCGATGGGAGCAAGTGCCAAAGGTAGGAATCACTTGGAGCAAATAATTTAAGCATCCGGGAGCAAAGTGATCCAGCGAAAGCAACTCGGAATAGAGCGTCTTCTCCCTCTGCCTCCCCCGCAATTTTTTTTTCCAGTTTAAATATGACTCCCTATGTACCAGCTTGAGTTCTCCACTCAATATACTTCACATACTTGTGTTTCCCAGGCCTCCAGACTGCTGATTCTGTTTTTTCCAGTCAACAAGAGACACAACAGGGCAGCTCAACCGAGACGGCCAGAATTAGAACACAAACACACGGAATAAGGTGTTCACACACTGGCGGCTTTGGAGACCGTTTGTTCAGTGAAACAGATGCTAACTGATTTAAGTCAATAGGTGCATTTATAACACATAATGAAAAGACACCAAGAATCCCAGGAAGCAAACTAGGAACAGTGTGTTACGTCCGCCAAGAGCCATGACGGCCCTATTACTTAATCGACTGTTAGAAATAAAAACGAAGGGTGATTTAGGTTCACTGTAAAACTTGTCAACACTTTCAGAAAAGAGCTGCATTGTGTTTGTGGAAGCTCTGAGTATAAATTGGGTGGATTTAGCCTCTGTGGGTGCCCAGCGTCAAAGTGTGCAAACAAGGTAACAGGAAGTTGTCTTCTGATCCGTAAGGAGTCTTGCCAGGGCTCCGAAGGACTCAATCTATTCATTAGTAAATGCCAACATTCTGTGAGACAATTTGGTAAGTCTTCCCATAAACAGGATGTGTCAGAACAACAGCTGTATAGGCATTCAAAAAAAAATTAAATTCGGAAACCTGTATTAACATAAAATACTCGTTTCCAGGCTACTTACATCAGTGTCAGGTCCTTTATCCGCACCCGGACAAGAAAAAGTAACGAACTCATGGCACCTCTTGTGAACCACAAAACAGCAAACTGGTGGAGAGAAAAGGAAAACAGAGTTAGAACAGCCCAGGTGGAACAGGCAAGCTTTGTTTTCCAAACAGGGCTACATGCGGCCCCAAGTCAGTTCAGTTTCACTACAGACAGTCTCACAAGCAGCGATTAGAAGGCATTTGAGACTCAGCAGCCTTTGGCATTGACTGGACTCAGAGATAACAGAACCACAAAATGCCACCACTGACTGGGCCCAAGGAGACCTGAGCCTTAGGTCCTCGTCTCTAAAGTTGAGACGGAGCGGGGCCAGAGACTCTAAGACAGTCTTCCCAACATATAAGGCAGGAATCAAAGTGTGAAGTATTTTGCGCTGTCCTCCACCAACACACATGGGTGTATCGATGTTCATACTTCATTGTGCTAACAGGGTATAACATTTATAAAGAGAATAACTTATTATAAATCACATGTGGGTATCCCTAAGTGTGGCTTGCAGAACTTCCTGAGCAGAATTCTGGGCTTTAAAAACTCAAGACATAAACCCAATCCACACCAAACAGCCCTGTGAAATGAAGAAAAGCTGGGGGACATCCTCACACCTTCTTTTATCTGCCTGCTTGCCTGTCTCCCACTGGGGAGTCCCCACAAACCTACCAAACCCGCTACATAGCACGTATTTTCCAAACCCAATATGGTTTTGGTAAGCATTTCTGAAGATGAGGCAATAAACAGACTATTACAGAAATAAGTCATCCGAGATGTTTATGAATAGCGTAATGTGGAGGATACAAAAAATAATAAAAAATAAATGACCTAGGTAATCCTTCCTCCAAACATGAGGTCTGGTTGCAAAGGGGACAACCTACTAGTCTACTGTTCTCTGCTGAACGCTGCCACACTGAAAGACAATGTACCCTGAGAAACGCTGGGGGAGTCCCGAGTCTTCACTGCCGGAGGGAGGCTAGGATTTCCCAGGTTCTTGGCTCTTTTCTTCTCCCAATGGTGATATTACAACTCCCGGCACATGTGTGTCAACGGGTGAAGTCAGCTGATGAGGGTCAACCACTTGGCTCGGTAGGAGAGGTGGGCAGGGTTGCCAGGAAGCCGAGATCCCATGAGGAGATCAGGTTCTGAGCCCAGAACCAAGCGAGGGTTCCGAGGGCCCCAAGTGGCCGGGAAACATTCAGAATTATTTCTGAGAAGCATTAGCAGCTACTGAGAGGTTTGAACCAGAGTAACCCGGACCAAAAGCAGTGCTTCTGAGGGGTAGATGGTGATGGCACGAAGAATCTGATGGAACAAATTTGGGCCATAAGGCCCATTTGAAGCCTCTTGCATAGTCTAGGAATGAAACTGATTGGCCATCATTATATCGTCTGCCAAGAAATGGAAGTGAGATGCCAGCCAGAGAAGGCAAAGAACTGATAGGACTTGCCAGCTGACCACAGACGCCATTGGCTGAGCACCCTCTTATGGGTCATTTTGATAGGCCATTTTACATGCATTATCCGCCAAATCCTCATAACACGACTTAATATGCTTCGACACTGACATTTTCTGGAAGGGAAGATACAGTACTGATCTCTAAGCATCTAGCATGTCATGAGCACATGATGTCTGCAGACAGAAGAGAGGATGAGAGAGGACAGATGGACGGACCAACAGAAGAGAGAAGGTCTTACGTAAAGTCACCCTCCTACTACATAGTGGAGCCATGATTCAGACTAAAGTTTGCTCTACCATGTCACATCCATTGACAGGAGCAGAAGAGATATCGAAGGTAATGCCAAGAGTCTGCACATGGGTAACAGGAAAGTGGGTACATGAAAAAACTATAAATGTATTTAATAAATATATGTAAGTATATATATACACATATGAAACCTAGATGTGGGTATGTCAGGAAAGTAAGATGAGGGATGATAGTTTTTTTTTTAATAGTTTTACTTTTCTTTTTAAACAGTCTTACTTTAAGATGGTCATAATACAATGTCACTGTCAAAGTACACCTTTAAAAAAAAATTCAGGCATGGCATGAGCAGGCAGAACAGGACACAGGAGGGAGCCAACCGGATGAAGGTGAACGTCGCAGACCTCATCAAGAGCATCTCTGCAGAAGCAGAGATGCCCTGAGTGAGGGGAGTTCTCTGTGGCTGCCTGCCCCGCCTGAGCACCGCGCACACCTGGGCAGAGGGAGGTGACAGCACTGCACCAGAGCAAAGAGCCCCCCGGCTGCCCCGGGCAGGGCCAGGACGCTGCAAAGAGCAGCAGTGTGCTCCCACGAGCCTTCAGCATGGCGGACTTTCCGCTCAGTTTCTGCTACAAGCATCTCCATTCCTACATGCTCCGTGGATGGCCGGCAGAGCAGCGCTGGGATGGCAGGAATTAATCTCATCTGCTCGCGCTCCCCAGACAGTCATCTTTCATTCACTGGAATTAGAGAGAGAACTCGCTAAAGGGAGAGGGTCATGGGAGCATCATTTCCTCATCATAGTTGATTACGGACATGGTGTTCTGAAGGGAAAAGCAGCTCTCTGATTCTCTACTTAATCGTTTAAACAATCAAGTCTTTCCTCTCTTTTTAAAAAAAAAACTGCCTCTGCATTCAGGTGGGCACTTCAGAAAACCCATGTTTATCAAACCCCTTTGGAAGGCCAGTCTGCCTTTCGCTCCCCATTTACCCAATAGGGCAATTATACGTCTCCAGCTGGAAGTACCTCTACTGTGCGCCTCAAAAAAAAAAATCACGTATCTGACTTGACCCCAAAAAGAGCGTGGCCCTCACTACACAATTTGAAAGAGCTGCTTTCCAAAAAAAAAAAAAAAAAACCACCTTCCCCAAAATTACTTCTTCCCCAACCTGCCTTCCAGCCCCTCTCCTCCCACCTCACGTGAAGGTCACACATCTACCAGCGGCTGCACTTGGCCAGCAGCAGGTGGAAAGCAGGCTGCAGGTGACTGCAGGGCTGTTCTACATGAGTTACCTGGGGGAGGAGGACCCCGTAAGACCTGTTCAAACACTCAAGATTCAGACCAGATGCAGAATGAGCCCACGCAGTGGCCACGCCTGGGTGACTGATGGAGACAGAGCTGGGGACCTTCTCTGCTCACCCCACGCCCAGGGAGGGGAGCCGGCAAGAGGAGCTGCACATGGGCTGACTCTGGCTGGAAGCAGGGTTTGCCTGGGAAACGGAGCAAGGGCCACAGAGGTTCCAAAAATCACTGATGGAGGGCTTTGAACTTTGGTTTCAAGTTCCAAACTACGTTGGGTGATTTCCTCCTAAGACAATAAACGAGGAAAAGACTGAATAAAACAAGAGCATGCAGTGGGCTCACCTGGACTGGACAGCGCAGGCTTTCCTCGGGCTACAAATTAGGAGCTACTGTTTTTATCCTTTACTATTTGGATTTTTTCCTAATCATCTCACCACGTTATGTGGAGCAAGGGAATGGGGGAGGGGGCACGGGAGGTGGTACCTACCACACAGAATGCTTTCCATACTGATTTGCCTGACCTTGGCAGGCAAGTAGGAGGGAGTGGAGACACATGGCAGCTTCCTCCTGCTCCACGGCTTGTGTCCTGCAGCTGGACCCCCGGCCTGTAAACAAGCCTTTGCTGAAGCCTGCATAGGCTGGCCAATAAGACCGAGATGGAACCTCATTTTCGAAGACTCTGGGTCGCCTCTGATTGTGCAACCAAATGAGAAGCTTTAAAACACGAAGCTCTCCTGCAGCTTAAAGCCACAAAGTAAATCTTCAATTATTTTCTAAGCACAAAATCGCTTGCCTCTAATCCTCTGTGATATGCTTACGCTGCCCAACAGTGACGGACAACACACAAAATGCACAAGTCACACTAAGCAAATGACAGGAGAGGACAGGAAATAAGACCATGGGCCTGGACAAATAATGATTCTTAACAGTACCAGATTTTTAAAACTGAGAACACTCATGCTACTGATCCACATCGCCTGCTGATCTTACAAAGTAAACTGAACAAAAGCTAAAGTTTTTGTCATCTGTCAAATGTATGTTTCAGACACAAAATAAATAAGACACCTGTGTTTGGATCAGGAATCCATAAAAATGGCTGCTAAACACAGGTGCATGTTGTGATGCAGACTTGTAGATGTTAATGCCAGTTCTCAATCAGGCATTAAAGAGAATAAAAACCAGCAAAGGGCAGGCTGAAAGCCACTCAGCGTGAGAGAAACACTCCCTCCTGACACTGGCCCCCGACCCGTGAAGTTGGTAAGAGCTGATTCAACCACAACGAGTCTTGGGCCATGAGACGCACGAGGTGGACCTGAGTGCTTTGTTTCTGCGTCAAATGTCATCACACAAATGGATGACCTGGGACTCCTGATACAGGACAGTGTTTCCCAGAGCATTCTCTTGGGCAAATGCTAAGTCCAGAAACATTTTCCGTATTCCATTCATGCACAGAGATTTACTTAAAAAAAACAAAACTAAACCAAACTAAAACCACGGTGAATTGACACTATATAAAAAGAAGTAACTTGTAATGACAAAGAATATGAAAACAAGTAAGTGTGTGTGTGTGTATGTATATACATATATACGTATTACTGGAACATTGTGCTGTACACCAGAAACTGACACATTGTAACCGATTGTACTTCAGTTAAAAAAAAAAAAAGGAATCAGCTGCAATTAAGTGCTTCTTGCTCCTCGATGCATCCATGCAGATTCCTCCCCAGGAATGCCACCAGCATGACCACACACACATCAAGAAGGTATAGCAATGGTTCTGACATGAGAAAAAAATTCAGTTAAAGGTGATTAGTCACCATGTCATACCCACTAGGAAGGCTATTATTAGAAGAAAAGAAACAATATGATGGTGAGTTTGAGAAGACAGGGAAGATATTGGAACCTCCGTCCACTGTCGGTGAGAATGTAAAACGGTACACTTGCTGTGCATGACAGTACAGCTACTTGTCTTAAACACAGAACTACCACCTGATCCAGCAACTCTCCTCCTAGGCGTCTCACAAAAGAACGGGAAGTGGATCTCA